GCTTAATATTAGGTGATTGGAGGTTTTTGGCACGTGCGATGTTCAATGGTGTAGGAGTAGTTTGGAATATAGCTAGGGGCGGCCAGACCAAAACATGGCACAAATCCATGAAGTCACTGACAAGTGAACTGAGCTATGCTGGTAGGTGTAAACTACCTGGTTAGGGACCGCGAGGTGATAGCAACCGATGGTTAGAGACCCTGAATGACATAGCTCAAAATCGTTTGCAATGGCGCAGGTGCATCCACTCTCTGTGTTCTCCCAAATTCTAATCTTGTGAATTCTTCATGTCCCTTTTTTCTCTTTCCAAATTTACTTCACTGTATTGTACTCCTTAAATAACATCTTCAAACCCTAATCTTTTCGATTACTGCTTATACTTTGACTACCTCTACCACTACGGGATTTGAATCGACAATTGTATCTCTGTGCTAATGTGGTATGACAACTCGAACTGATGTACGTACGTACCAAATTCTACGTTGTTACTGACTGACTGGTTAGCACTAGTTGGCTAGGCGTACCTGTAATCTTGAGTAAATTGATGACCTACAATTGGTTAATCACTGGGCAGCGATCAGTGTCATGCATTTCAGGTCGTTGGTACAGTCATTAGTCCAGGTGACTCAACACTGAGTGCTTCCGACAAATGATTTCAGTCGCTACCCAGCGACCAATCAGTTGTAAATACATCTTAGTCCTACAGGCGGTCAGTCTCGGCCCGGATAACTCAGGAATAACAACTGTGACTGTAAAGCTGGTAACACGGATTCAAATATACCCAGTCGCATCAGTTGGGGGCAACCACAATTCTATGTTTTTGACCGGTATCTAATTAAAATAATAAAAATAATCTGTGTTTGTAATTGTGTATATCTGTTACTGTGCTTGACAACAGTTCAGCTCAAGTTGTAAAACAGTTGACAAAGTGTTCCCTTTTATGTATATATGTACCAGACTGAAAGAACTCAGAAATTAATCAACAATTTCGCCAAATATCCATTAATAATATTCTTCGCAGTGGTATATATGTAGTTTGACTAATCCATAATTCATGTGATAAATATAATACGCACTTACTTTCGGTATGGAGAACCGAAATGTTGGCAAACGTTAACCATGATCAGTGTTTCTAACCAGTTTGAATAAGTTTGTGCTTGTTTTACATATGTAAAAATGTACTCGTGCGACAGTTTAGTGTATCGTTATGAGCGTACGACTTTGATAGGGATAAATATTATTTAGTATTCCTGTATGGTAAAATCAACTTTGCAGGTTTTAAATCGTAAGGAATCTTAGTAGCAAATGTGTTGTAGTTATTCACTGAAAGTATGCAAGATGATAACATTGAGACAAAGCTAATCTGAATTTTTCAAGGTATTTTTATAATCCTAAATATTAATGCAGTGCAGACGCGATAGATTTAGCTAATATTTATGTTGTTTCTTTAAATAACGTTTTTAATCGTGATGCACACCATAGCAATCTTCTCTTTTAATGTTTCGAAGGTCGATATTTTGTTGAGAAGTCTTTAAATAGATTATGGATACCCAAATAATATAGCCTTATCAGTGATATTAATAGAACGTAGTTTTCTTGGATGAGGTCCACAAGGTAGTTAAAGTCGATGGTTGGAGACCTAGAGAAATACGGCATAAAATCATACACAATGAAGGAACTGCTTTGTTTTTTCATTCTAAAGTCTGAAAAGTTCTGTCACCTTACTTTTCGTATCGATTTGTTTTTTATTTATTCCCTTCCCCATTTATCTTATCTTACTGCTGCGCTGTATTGAAGTTTAGCAACCTGAAATTTTACACTTTGTGCCAGGTCCAAATTCAGTACACCTATTTATCAGTTTCCTGAACTAAACTACAGAATTTATAACTATCTGTAATGATCAATTTTATCAACAAAAAAGTATATTTCTGTTTAACTTTTACCCAGTAAACTTTATCTTCTGTTTGATTGGATTAACTTAATTTTGTTAGATGATAAATAACTTACAAAATTCCTAATTACAATTTTCATATTTCTCATTTTTATAGAGCTTAGAAGCTTGTACTTTCCTTCCTGTTGGCGCATTAACAAATCACTTGGGTCACACGTTTTCTGAAAGCAATACTTCTTTATTGTTGACTGGCGGTCAGTGGGGCTGTTTGCGTTGCTGGGATGTAGATACTGGGCGTTGTGTGTTAGAGATCAAGGGTCCCTTAGATCGGACTCCTCAGTCTGATTCTGGTAGTTCCACTGCGTTAGATCGCCACTCAATTGACTATGGACTTCATTCCATCAGTCATTTGAATGTATACAATATAAAAGACAGTAATGATCATGTGTTGGATGAAAGTGAAAACTCATCCTTACGATTAATTCTTGTGCGTCAAAGTAATCATGTTGAATTTTATAACCCAATGGTTGGCAAATTAACGGCTGAGGTATAGTAGTTTTATTTTTAATTTGTTCATCTCATAATTTTTTGAAAATATAAGTTTGTTATTCGTAATGCTTCCGAACACCAAGTGTAAAAATAGTGCAACATATCTGGTATTATTAATATTATACGCATTAATATAACTCACTTATGATTAGTTGAATGTATGTGGTGATTTGTTTTTGCTTCTTAAAGTGGATTGTTTGTTTTAGTGTTAAAGCTGTATCTTTGAACCACGTTTCATCCAATTCATTTCAAACCACTGGGCATTATCAATGCCTTCATAGATTATAATCTATCTCTCTTGACCAAATACACAAGATAATGTCTCCACTTTCACTCATACATTTCACACAATTGTGAACACTAACTAATCGGATCCCGTAGTCTAGGCAGACAATGAAAGGTTTATGAATAACCCATCCAACTTAGAAAATGCAACGCGCACGAAATCCCCATCATAAACTACAAATATTCTCTATATCAAAAAATTATTGCAAATCAGCAGACTACATATATACTAGTACTGTAAAAACTACGGTTATTTCAAGAGTTTTTGGTTTGTTCTAAAACTTTTGGTTTAGGTTTACTAGAAGTCATATTGTCATCGAGATCAGTGCTCTGTATATTATCTATTTCCTAAAGAAAACTTACACACACCCATCACTATTCACAAATTGGGATAAGTAACATGATTGTCACTTTTCTTACTGATTTAGATAGTCAAATCATAACAGGTTTATTGTTTAGTTCGAGTAAGATGGCAGATTAGAATACGTGAAATTGAAAACCTAAAAGGTTATACTATCTCTTTCTGCCCTGAATCGAGTCATCATTCGTTTTCTAAAACCCTTACAAACATATGTATTTACTTACTTTCGCCTGTTACCCATCGTGGAGGAGCGTAGGTCGTCTACTAGCATTCTCCATCGAACTCTGTCCTGGACAATCCTTCCCAGTTTTTTCAAGTTACTATTCATCCTTTTTATTTCTGCTTCCTATTCCCGACGTAATGAGTTTTTTGGTCTCTCCCTTTTCCATTTCACTTCAGGAATCTAAGTTAGGGCTTGCCTCGTGATGCATCTTTTCCTAATTTCCTCTTCGTCTGGAAGTTGGTTTGTTCTCTCCTAAACATAACATGTTTTTATTAGCATGATTAGAATTTTTTTTACACTAAATTATCTTGTTAGACGTCAGATTACTTTCATTCTTATGCGGTTGTCTACGATTGTTTGGTTTAATAATGTTCGCTTGTTGTTAATAAATACATTCCTTAATTTACCGTGTATATTACTCACAAATCCGATGTCAATTTATATTGTTACTGCAAACCACAACAAATGTTAGATAGGTCAGTTTCTCAAAACGCAAAAGTCCTTCCCAAGATCACTGACTATTGGCTTGAGCTATTTCGCTAGAAGCAGATCAGCTGGTTAGAGTCGCGTGATAACAATGATCTTGGTGGTTGAAGACGCTGATTGATGTGATTCATCCTCTTTTTTCAAACCATATTCTCAATGTTTAATCTCTTTCACCATCATTGCTACTACTATTGTAATAGACGAGAACACAGGTGGGGACAGCCAAATTTATTTTAATACAGAATTACAAATTATCTTGGTAAAACATAAAAACCATACACTGAACACTTCATTTGCAGATTTTCATCATTTTACCTTCAAATTCCTCTCTATTTTACCTTTTATTCTCTTCAACTCGATCTTCTTAGCCTTCTGATGCCAGGTTTTCCACTTCTGATTTGTGCTACATACTACTTATATCGACATACATAAGTGGCATACACCGTAATATTATTCTAATTCTTTCGCTATCTCGTAATAATTTGATATTAGCAATTTGGGCTAAGCTACTTGTGTGTCAGATTCTACCTTAACTATTCCTGACTGATTGATTTCAAAATTAGTTTGATCTTTTGTAATAGACCTTACAAATCCCTATCGATACAAATAAGAAGCCAGAATATTCAATTTCTTAAAGTAGAATTTAAATTTCATTTTAACAGTTCTTAGGTGACATTGGACAAGTTGATCAATTATGCATTGTAGGCAAAAATCACAATTATCTTATTCTAGCTGATGCGTCACCTCACATGAAAATTTTCCTCAATCCATATGGACTCAGTTTAAAGGGAAAAAATACAACTGAAGATAATCTTAATAGTAAAACAAATGGTTCATGGAAATGTCACCTTATTCCCGGTGGTCATACTGATGTGATTATGGATTTGACTGTATCCATATGTGGTCAATGGATTGCAAGTGGTTCTAAAGACCAATCTATTTGTTTATGGCATCTAATAGAATCAGAAGATTCAACATCGTCATCACTACATAAATCTAAGAATGTTCCTGTCAAATTGGATCTTATTACTCAAATTCATAAGGCACATGCTGCTCATATCAGTTCTGTTTGCTTTGATAAGTAAGTCAATAAATCTACGAACAAATCTAATCAGTCTCCTGTTTAAACTGATTGAACTGTTTTTCCGTCAATGATTTGAATGTATTTTGGACATAATAATACTTTTAATTTTTTTGTATAAAAAATCGTCCTGGTATAGAATTTCTAAATGATGATGATGTGAATAGCAAATGATAATGGTTAAACTGTATAGAATATCTGAAATACAATCAAATAGCTGTACTTTATACTTCCAGTATGTTTGTTGATTTTCTAAAAGGCATCACGGTTCTCGAGTATTTCAAGTATCTAAGTGTTATGAAAACACATCATTTAAACGGAATCACTGAGTCTAACATAACTACTATATCATGCACTGGTCTGAATGATATCTTTTACTATCTATGGTCAATAAAATTTGTCTTTTGGGAAAAAAATATGAGCGAATATGTATTGTCATATTCTCGTCACATCCTATTACTTATCTTTGAAGACGACGAGAAACCACTACAGTTCTTACAACGTACTACACAAAACACTGGTACAAGTGAAGATTTACTCACTTAACGCAAAGATTCTAATCAAATACTTAATAATAGATGATATGCAAGAATATGATGTGGGTGTCTGATATGTGTTCACATGACGTCAGCCACCAAGTGATCTGAAATCAAAGACAAGACCGTAAGCCAGAAGAATAGGCTTTTTTATGTGACCTGCATATATTTTCAAAATATCAGCAGAAAAATAAACATGAACAAATACTACAGGAAATTAGCGGAAATTAGTTTGCAGAGCATTCATTCTCCAATTAACTAATACCTCACTGTTAGACCTAACTTTTGGACATCGTATCAGTGCCATACAAGTTACACCATTTTTATTCACATCGAGGTATTGTAAATTATCCCCGGAACCTTAAGTGTAAAGAACAATTTAAGCGATTAAAATACAAACTTCACGTGAATTTTATTAATTCTCACTAATTTCCAAGGTTTTCAAAAGTTGTAAAGAGTAAGGAAATCTAAAGACTTGACGAAAGTTGCTGGTAAAAAAGAAAATACATTGGTATAGCATCACCTTATTCGTGTTCAAGTAGTTTTTCATCATGAAAAATGGTTTTGCTTAGCTTATTTGTAAGAAAATGTGCATATTTATGTACTCTATGCTTATTTGTATTATACAGATTGACAACACATCTTATATCTAGTTCAGAAGACGGTATTTTAAAAGTTTGGAATGTTCAGTGTAATAACTTAGATAAACCAGATTCTGTGTTATCAGAATTAAACACAATTCATGGAGCCCATGGCGGAGTAATCAATTCAATTGATGTTTCCGTTGATAATCGTCTTGTTGCTACTGCATCACGTGATAAAACTGTCAAGGTAACTAACAATTCATTGTATTTTCCTTTACACAATGGTCAGGTAACTGAATCTTCGTTCAGTTGTTAGTGAAATAATTAATAATATTACACTTCATATTGTTAGTTTTACACGCTCCTATTCATGATGTAGTATTTTGTATTTTTTAACTAGTTAATTCGTCCAGTGATCTCACTAGTTTTTTTATTTCATGAAATTTTAGATATGGGAATTTAAAAAACAAAGTTTACATTGCCAAGGGGTTCTTCAGGGTCACCGTAGAGGTGTTTGGTCTGTTTGCTTTTCAAAATTTGAGAAAGTAAGATCTATTCACCTTTTTTTATCCTGGTTCTATAAATCTGTTAAAGAAAATGGGTTGCTTATTGACGATTTTCATGTTACTTAATTATTTAACAATTAAACCATGTACCACTGCTTTGATTGGAACTACATAAGTAAGGATCATTTCTTGAGAAAGAAGTAAACGTGGTTTGTAGTTGAGTTTAAGCCAACCACTTGGATGTCACGTTTCAAATTGTATGCTAGTAAAACTTAAGATCTGACACCTGGCCACCTTCTACATATAAAACTTGATTGATACTAATGTGCTAACTAATGCAATAGATATGATATCAACCAATCAATAATATTTGAATTCATTTTCAATCCCTACATTAATAATCATCATGTGCTCTCCGGTGGATAGCTTTAAGATGCAATTCCCGTAGGTCGAGTGAGAAGCTGTGACTAGTAGAGCTCAGACATGTTGAGTGTGGGACAGTTATCCACAGTACTTAATTAAAGGTGGTCGCGCAATATCATAAATTGATTGAAGTCAGATGTGTACACTATTGAATTTCGGGTCAGTAGTCTATGGCTAAGTGTCCACGTGTGAGACCGAATATCCTGGATCCGATCTCTTGATGGGGTTGTGAAAGTCCACTGGCGTGGAGTACTATACTAAAAAGAAACAACTGTCCAGTGTTTCCTAGTATTCATTAGTGGCTTAACTAAGATTAGTATTCTACTGATCTTCTCAAAACCTCATACTGAAGATAATAATTAATGTTAAGCTCACATTCAAGGTGGTGAACGCAAAAAAACAAATCTTAGTATACAAGAGCACAAAATAACTGGTCCAATGTTGTAGCCAAACAGATTAAGAAGGTATCGACCAATAAGGCAACAGTCGATTTATAATTCACCGATAAAATTCCAGAATAGAGAGTAATTCTTAGCTTATTTTTCCTATGTTTAATCCTTATCCTATTTACTCACTATAATCATTTTCTTCTATTGATTTCGTGTTTTTATACCATTAAAAATGTGACAACCTATTGAACGAGTAATATGTTCATAGGACACTCTGTTTATACATGCATATGTTCGAGTGAAAATTAATGTATGGTAGTGTTAGCGGGACATAGACTGGATTAAAGCATGCTCAATTCATGATTGCTTTGGTGCACGTTGATTGGCTAATTCTTATCCAATCGGCACTAGTCGATAGTTGGAGAATACTCTGGAATCTTTTTATGTAAAAACTATAAATATACTGACGTTTTCTCTATTGTGCTTCTGACTTGCTTCTTACTTCCATGTAACCTTGTTATTTGGAATATAATCTCTTCCTGTTCAACCGTGTTTTGATTTGGGGACTTGTCGAGTGAATCGGTGTCCGAGAATACTAAGCAATAGGAATAGCTGGGTTATAACCGTGCAAGAAAAGAGATTATAACAGGTAGTGAGAATACAACAGTTTATTCTAGGATACTTGTACCTTTGGCAGAATTAAGAATGATTACAAATTGAAAGCATTCATTTTTTTTACTGTAATTTAGATATGCTTAACTCAAGATTTTTTTGTGTGTGTGTTTAATAGTCCTTTAATCATTTAACAAAAGAATTTATTTAACTTGTATACAGATCTAATGGAATTAAGTGAACTTGAATCAAGAATTTGCCGTTCACTGGCATTAGTATTGCTTCCGTAAATACAGAAATAGTCTTATGTTGATAGTCACAGAGAATTTTCATAGGATTGAATTAATAATATTGGGCTTAATTATAGGTAACTTCATGCGTTATCTTCAAACACAATTAATTCAACTTTAAGTTAATACTCTTTTTGTAGTAGAATGACGCAAGCTAAAGTAAAAATTTCCTTTCCTTTTGTAATAAACCATAACTTCATGAACACTTTTATTGTATTTTTTTGATTGAGATCATGAACCGATTGATGTTAGACCATCATTGAAAACCTGGAAGCATTAGACGGCCGTTTCGTCCTATTGTGGGACTCCTCAGCAGTGCGCATCCACGATCTCAGGGCCACTACTGAGGAATTCCACAATAGGACGAAATAGACATCCAGTGCTTTCAGGTTTTCAGTGGTGGCATAATATCAATCAGTTCATGATCTTAATCAAAAAATTAACGATCTCCACGACCCTATACTGATAGTTTCATTATGTGTTATGAATTGTTTTCCTTTTAATTTATATTTGTCTTTGGTAAAACGAAATATTGTACAATATTTGTTTGACATTATTTTTAAAGATTGCACTTACTGCTTCGGGTGATGGAGATGTAAGATTGTGGAATTTAAAAGATTTCTCGTGTATCCGTGTAAGTTGTTTAAATGGCTTTTTTATATATTTTAATTTAATTCATTATGTTACTCATGAGTAGCGTCAGGTGAAGCAGATATTCAACTCAGTAATTTATTATCTTGTTAGTGAATCCAGTTATATCTGTTGTCAGTTGTAAATATGTATTAAATCATTAGTTAGTTCATGTCAAGTAATCCCCCATTCAATGTATTAAAACTGAATTATTGATCAGATAACGAAATCATATATGACCCATTGTAATTGTTGGTACAATGTTTATCAGTTGTGTATTTGAAGTTGGTGTCTAATAAAATCTTCCTCCACAGTTTTACCTTCCCATTCAGTAAGTAGCATCAGTCTTCTTTTCGTTATATAGCAGTAAGTAACCAGTTGTGTCCTCAGTTATAAAAATGGCCATATCATTATTTTGTCAAATTACAACAAGTTGTTTCCCAATATACATCATAATTGCATCTTCTGGTCTCTCAACCATACAATTTGTTCATTGATTGTACTTTGAATTACTCACAGTCATGTACTGATTTTAATTACTAGAATTTGTATCTGATTGTTCGATAAGCAACTGATGAATCTGAATGTTTTTCTAACAGACATTGAACAGCGAATAGATTTATAGTCGGTCAAATCCACTCACTTTTGCTGTCAAAAGCAATTTGTCTCATGAAACCTACGTTTAGTATGTTGCGGAAATTTTCACAACTGCTTTTGTAGATTTTCCCACTATTATCGTTTACCCTTTCACTAAATGTCAATCATTCAAATGTATTGAGATACAGTACACAAATGATTAGACTACAATTTTCGTCCTTCGAATACAAAATATTACTTCAAGATATCTACATCACTTCATTGCATGAATATGTTGGTCGAAATGGTTGATTACTTTGATAACTTCATTTATTTACAAAGTCTCCTATTAGCCTTTGTGTGTTGGTGATCGAATAAATCTTTATAGCACCACATTGTTACTTACATACACCTGCTACTCCTAATGAAACATAGGCCGCCGACCAGCATTCTCCAACACACTGTCCTGCGCATTCCTTTCCAGTTCTATCCAATTTTTGTTCATTCTTCTCACGTCTCTCTCTGTTTCTCGGCGTAATGTGTTCTTTGGTCTTCCTCTCCTCCCTTGGCCTTGAGGATTCCATGTGAGGGCTTGCCTTGTGACGCAGTTCGGTGCTTACTCAATGTTTGTCCTATCCGCTTCCAGCACTTCTTCCTAATTTCTTCATCCGCTGGGATCTAGTTTGTTCTCTCCCACAGTACGTTGTTGCTAATACTGTCCGGCCGACGGATCTGAAGTATTTTGTGTAGACAATTGTTAATAAACAGCTGTATCTTCTGGATGATGGTTTTCGTAGTTCTCCACGTTTCCGTCCCATACAGTAGAACTGTCTTGACATTTGTATTGAAAATCCTGACCTTGGTGTTGGTTGACAACTGTTTTGAGTTTCAGATGTTTTTCACTTGTAAATATGCTGCTCTTGCGTTTTTGATCCGCGCATTCACATTCGCATCAGATTCACCGTGTTCATCAATGATGCTGCCCAAATATGTAAAGGTTTTTACATCTTCCAAATCTTCTCCGTCAATTGTGATTGGATTGATAGCACCATATTATTGATAGTCTTTTAAATCGTTATCTTTAGATTTTATACAAAATATAGTGATTTACTCTTCCAGTTAATTCATGATTTATATCTTACTTTATCTATATATTGCATTGAATAACTAACTATTTTCACCAATTGTTAATTTTGACAACTATTTGTGAAAACAATGAAGTTGCTAACACATACTTATCCATTTTTTTTATTCGGGTGAATTATGGAGATTGGTCTATCAGTATATAACTAGAAGATAGATTCCTGAAGTTTTAGAACTAGAAGTTGTGATGAGAGGTGTTCATCAAACATATTGTCTTCGTTAATGACAGACGTGCCGCACCACGAATAGACTTAGATTGGAAGTGTAGACTATTGGATTTTTACTTAACATTGTAAAGTTGATGTGCTACATGTGAGTCTTAAATTTCCTGGATTCTATTCCTGATAGAGTCATGTATGTGAAATACTGAGTAATTTCACGCTAGAATTGGATATCTGTTCAATAACTTACTTGTTGTTTTCAATAGTTTTTCCACTGCTATCAATTCGTGATTAAAACTGTCTCTTCATTGCTATGTTAATTTCATTAATTTCAGACATTGGAAGGCCATGATCAACCAGTGTATAAGGCAGTTTTTCTTTCTCACGATAAACAAATATTATCATGGTAAGTTAATGGTGGACAAGTAGAAGAAAATAATATTGTTGTCCACATTCTCTATACATATTATAGAAGTTGTAAAATGCGAAAGTAAGTAATGAAGACTAGGAATCAGTCCGTTAATTCTAGCTAATATACTTTGTAACCTAAGGAAATCTCATGTCATATGCTTTGATCATGTTTACACGATTGGATGGATAGATAGACTAGCCGTAAGTGTCCGCTCTTCATCTCAAAATGCTCTCACATGGCCACACATATACAGCCACTGCCAGGGAAGTTCTACTCACTGCCTCCTCACGGTGGGGGTGTTAATTACGAAATTGAGAGGACGAAAAGCGAATATCCTGTGCTTTAACGGGGTTGATGAGTACGAAGGATCCAGCTAGGAAGTTGGAAAACCCTGATTCTAAACCTATGGTGCACATGGACTCCAGTATCCTGAGGGAACAAAAGGCATATGAACCTATTGTTGGTAACTGGTTACAATGGGACTGAATTTCCTTACGATGCTCCACTACCTTGTGGATTAGACCTTTAGGTCGAAGGTTCCGAATATGGCCTTCTAATAAAACCACTTACATCGATTTGGACACTCGGACAGTATTCCAGCCGTCACACAAGCCAATAGCCTCATTGTTATTGTGTGACGCATATGTATTCGGTGCCCCATTGTACCAAATTTCGTGTTCAAATAAATAAGTTAAAAGTGTTCATTTTATCATATAAACAAATAAACGTATGTCTTTATATCATACATTTTCTCTATCATGTTTTAACGACTGAGTTTTAAGTGGTTAATTGCAATCCCATTTTTTGGAATATATTCCATTTGTACTCTATATTATTACACGAAATAACACTAACCTCCCTGATACTCTCCTACTCCAAAAGGTAATTTCATTCTAGAAACCAGAGAGGACTGATTTAAAAAAGTACATGATTTATAATCTCGATCAAAACTCAACAATCTCCATTTATTTTTATTTATTTTAACACATAGATATTGGTACAAGGAGGCACCAAATACATATTCGCCACACAGATCTCATTTGATATGTGTGAGGGCTGTGATACTGCCCGGGTGCACAAACCGAAGCAGGTTGTTTTCTTAGGGGGCCACACCCGAAGCCTTCGACTTGAAGGTCCGACCCACAAGGTAGTGGAGCAACGTCACAAGATGCAGTCCCATGGTAGCCGGTGACCAACGTTTGGCTCATACACCATTTGTTTCTTCAGGATACTGGAGCCCATGTACACCATTGGTTTCGAATCAGGGTTTTCCAACTCCCCTAGGTGGACTCTCCATGTCCACCAACACGGTTAAAGCGCCGGACATTCGCTTTTCGTCCCCTCAATTTTGTAAACAACACCCGCGCCACGAGAAGGCAGTGAGTAAGACTTCCCTGCCAGAGGCTATATACGTGTGGCCATGTGAGAGCATTTAGAGAGGGAGAGCGGACTCTCCCCACCCTCGGCCGTACCAGGGTCCTATACTGACGAATACGTATAAATTTATGTACAAAAACCTTGAAATTTAGATAGACATTTGTCGTGTTAAAGTAACGTCTTTACTTGCATGGTAAAAATGAAAGATAGTTTCCATGGGGAGTTTAAAGAGTAGATAAATGAAGATTTAATTTTGTAAGTATAAGTAACATGTTTATCTAATAATTCTCTATACCTTAATGTTTCTAACATGTATCTGTCGAATTTCACAAGTGACACTTCTAATATTTATTTCTTTTTTTCAAATAATGTTTTTAAGCGATCAGAAAGGATTAATAAGATTGTGGAATGTATCCAAACCACCTAAAAATAATCAAGAAAAATCTGAAAATGTTGATAAACCATCCTCTGAAGAAACTTCATCTTTAGTTTATGAAGCACACGATGGAAGAATATGGTCATTAGCTATTTGCCCAGATGAATCTGGTTTTTTCACTGGTGGTGAAGATGAAACATTGTGTTATTTTGAAGTAGGTGATTAACATTTATCACTTAACATGTTTTTTTTTTAAAAAAGGTATAGGATTGTAGAGATTGTTGAGTTTTTAATTGAGATCATGAACTGATCAATGTTAGACCACTACTGAAAACCTAGAAGTGTTATTCTTTCTGTTAATGCCTCAGTGGAGTAGTGGTTCATTGGTTAAGACGTTCAATTCTCAATCTATTTGATTAAAGGTAGGAATCTCCCTTCGCTTACTCCTGTTCTGACAGTTGGGTAGTATTATATTAGCCTTCATCAATAAAATATGGCTGAAAACCCAGTACACTAAGCTGTACGTGATAAATGAGCTAAATTAATGAGTTGAAAATATAGGCTGACAATTTATTTAAGCAATTAGCTTTCGGAAGATTATTCAATATTCTATAGATGAAAAGATGGAAATGTTAATTTACTTATGAACTACTGGTTTTATGTACTCTACTTGGAGGTATACTGTTGATAGTACCCTTGGTGTAAACCGTTTCGTAATCCGGCCCAGACATCTTCATTGCTTGGTATTCGCCGGACACTAGTTCACTCAACTAGTCCCCAAAATCAGAACGCCACTTGGACGGGTATATAATTTTATTCCAAATAAACGAGGTTAAGTGGAGGTGGATCACAGTAAGGACATTAGTATATTTATAATTTTACGCAGGAACATTCTGTAGTATTCTTCAATTATCCGCTAGCGCTAATTGAATAAGAATGTAACTGACTGACCGATTTGGGTTTTCAATCCATCCACCTTCTGGACAATAAAGAAGTGGTATCATACTTGGTCAACACAGGGACTACCTTCACGGTTTCTGGAAGTTTGATTTCGAAGATGTCTAGTAGAATATGGAGAGGTATTCCACTTCAGTTCTCGTTTAGTTTTCTCCAATATCATAATTATTTTGACTTTTGATTTACTTCATTTTCAGTTTACTTTCCTAGGTGCTTGACATAAAATCCGATAACTTTATTTGATGTACATTTGTATCAGATCCTACATAGCTTATAATTGACAGACTGATCAACAGCAAACTGAAATAAAAATACAGTAGTTTTTTGATGTTTTCTATTTCTACTGTGTATATTTAGAATAGTGAATCATGTGTTATAAAAATTGGTTTGACTAACTAAAGCATCAATAATGAGTTTGTAAATGTTTTTTTTCGCTGTTAATGTTAAGGACTGCAATTGATTAGTCTCTATTAGTATATATGCACTGTAGCGGATTGTCTCTATATTGTCACTTAGTTACAAGTTGCTCGAGTCTCAAATAAGGCGAAACACACTTCTTAGATTTCACCGATAGCTACTATTTACTAGCACACATGTATTTCGGATGGTTTTGAAGAATTGTCGTATACGATAGTATTACCGGCTTTTACACTTCGAGTGTGGTTCATACACAAGTACCTGGTGAGTGGTCTTTTTTCCTTTCGTATTTTTTATACTACTCGTTTACCCAAACCAAAGTAGGAGAAGCGCAGTTCGAACCTGAGGATTAGTGGCTGAAATTCGAACACTTTACCCACTAAGCTACCTCTTCACTTATGAATCTCGAGTTAGATAAAACTTATCCGTACTTACTTGCTATTAAATAAGCTACTCATGTAAATACGTCTATTCTTGTCTGTTTTGCGTATGAAGATTTATTGTTTAGAAATAATGTATTCACTTTTTTTAAAGGATATTACAGAAATAGTGCTGAATGAAACATCACAACAGCAAGAGGAATATATTCAAACGTAAGTCTATCTGTGTTATAGATATGTAAATATATTTTTGAGAAATTTTACCTACCAGTATTCTCCATCCACTTCTGTTGTGGACAATCCTTCCAAGCTGTTTCCATTTGCTACTAATCCTCTTGATATCTGCTTCCCATTCCCGACGCAATATGTTCCTTGGTCTCCTTTCCTTCTTCCATTCAGGATTCCCAGTCAGTACTTGCCTAGTGATGCAGTTTGATGATGATCCAGTTCCAATATCTTTTCTTAATTTCTTCTTCATCTGGAAGTTGGTTTGTTCTCTCCCACAGTAGTCTGTTGCTGATGGTATCCGACCAACGGACATTGATTATCTTGTGTAGACAATTGTTTATAAATACTTGTACTTTTTAATGATGGTTGTAGTAGGTCTGGAAGTTCCAACTCCGTACAATAGGACTGTCTTGACGTTTGTATTGAAGATTCAGACTTTGGTGTTGGCTTGGAGACAGTTGTTTTGAATTCCATATGTTCTTCAACTGTAGGATCACTGCCCTTACTTTGCCAGTCAGCGCCTTTACATCTGTATCGGATTCTCTTTGTTCATCGACACTACTGATCAGCTAGGTGACATTTTCGACCTCTCCTAGAGTTCCTTCACCAATTGTGGTCGGGTCGGTGTTTTCTGTGTTGTGTTTCGAGACCACGCTTTTCCCCTTGTGTATGTTGAGTCCAACTGCTGTAGAGACTGCTGCTACACTTGGCGTCTTCACCTGCGTTTGTTCATCTGTATGGGACAGAAGAGCTAGGTCATGTGCAAAATCCGAATCGTTTAGTTGCATTCAAGCTGTCTATTGTGTTCCGTGTTTCCCCTCCTATGTCGAGGTCTTCACAATCCAATAAAACACCATATGAAAGAGAATGGGGGAGAGCAAGCAGCCTAGCCTGGCACCGGTCTTCACTTGGAATGCGTCTGTCAGCTGTCCTCCGTACACGACCTCTGAATATCTGTCGTATGAATTCCGTATGATGTTGACGATCTTCTTACGCACACCATAATGTCGAAGAAGGTTCCATAAGGTTATCCTATCCGCACCGTTAAACGCTTTCTCATAGTCAAGGAAGTTAATATATTCAACTGATCGCTCAACAATGATCCGCAGTGTTACGATTTGATCTGTGTACGACTGATTATTACGGAATCCATACTGTTAGGCGTCCACTAGATTTTTCATCCAGTCCAGCAACACCCTGTCGATAACTGATAGTACTGTGATGTCTGTGTATTTCTCACACTTGCTGAGATCTTGTTTTTGTGGTATCTTGATGAGGTGTCCTTCTTCCCAGTCTATCGGTCCTTGTTCTTCCTCCCACACTTTTCTGTATAGAACGTGGAGCATGCTTGCAATTACTTCTATGTCCGACTTCAGTGCTTCGGCTGGTATATTGTCAAATCCTTCTGCTTTCCCACTCTTGATTTGCCTGATGTTCATGTTGATTTGTCCTATGGTTGATGGAGTGAAATCTATAGGAAGGTCTGTGCGTGGTGCTTCTATATCCAGTGGGTTTAGTGGGGCTCGTCTATTAACGTTTCTCAAAGTGTTCTACCCACTTGTTCTTCTGTTCTTGAATCTCAGTGATTGTCTTACCTTTGTTCTTGACTGGTCGCTCTGGTTTACTAAAAAGGAAGCTAGTTATAGGATATCCTAAATTAAAATAAATCACATTTCACAAATATAAAGCGGGACTGGTCATTATTATTTGTTACACATTCAACATTTTTGAAGGTATACTAATGCATTGGTGGTATCAGTGAGGATATTGAGTACCCCATACATCACCCGATCTTTCATTGAATGTTCAGATAATTTTGTTATTTATCAATTCGTGGTTTTAGTAGCAAAGCTGTTCGATTTTCAACTACCAGTTTGTGAGTTTCAGATCCTCCCCAACTACTTTGTTTCTGGCAGTCGGGGGTAGTAACATCAGCATTCACGCATAAAGCATGGCTCAAAGCTGAGCACACAGATCCTTAATTTACAAATAATTTATATCACCAGGTGTTACTATACGAAGAGCGACCTTGTTTTCACAGTTTCTTGTAGCGGGGTTATGATTATCTGTCTGTATGATTTCTTGACTCACTTTAAAGGTTCATTCTGGACAGTTAGTGAAGGCATAATAAACCACTGTTGTGAAACCGAATGTTATCCTAGGCAAACATTTTTGGATCACTGAATTATTTGTCTAGAACACAAACTACGTTTCTCAGTATGGGCTCAAAAACTGCTATGAGTTCCACTTATCAACTCTTATTGTATGGTTTTCAGTCTTATTTAGTTCCCATGTTTGCTGGTAACGCCTGATCGACTCAAGTATTCAGAGAATGAAAACAAAACCAAGTGTGGGAGTGTTTATCATCAAAAGTCGAATAAATCTAACATATTTATAGTTGAATGTATATGGTAACGTTGACCAAGTAAATAATTTACTTATTTTCCCAGTATCTGCCCGACGCTTTCATTACATTTACCACACGACTGTGAGATATTGTCTAGCCTGCTATGTTATGCTCAACAAAATAAATTAGTTTGTACTATTATTCTAACAACACCTATATCCGTTCCTGCTATAAGCAACCATGCGTTTCGTAGTGGCTTCAACATTTATTAATTTATCGGGTAAAGTCTGGTTAGTGCTGAGCTTTAGAATATTTTCCCCGAAGACTGATATGCTCGTTTTATGGAGCATATTATTGAAATAGTTTCTTTCTAATCAGAAAATATGGGCTTTGAAAATGCTCGAAGTATAGTTTTGTGTTGTGTCTCAGGATCTGAGAATCATTTCCAGATATTACTCGACGCACTTTTTGTCTAAGAAGGTAAATCTCGCTGATAATACCTCAATCTGAACTAAGCGTTTATGCATCATAGTGTGTATTTTCACTCTGGAATTCGAACTTAGTACCTATTGCTTTAAACACAGACGGATTATCCACTGAAGTACTGGGTTATTACGATTATTTTATTTTATTTTTACGCGATATTGGTTTTATAGACAACAAGAATTGGATAATCTTGTACACAAACAAATGTATGCCGATGCTGTTCATTTGGCTGTCAAATTAGACCAACCCAAGCGAACATTAGACATACTACAGGGTAAGATTACATTTTCTTGAATATTTATAGAAAACAGTTTTCATTGAACAGTTTCCTTCTGAACATTTTTCTCTTGCATCACTCGATAAGCGATTTCTGTTTATTTTCCACCCAATTAATCTTCAATCAATTCGCACTAGATTCTCTTGTGAATATATTTTTGTTTTGCTGGTTTAACATAACAACCTTATGTTAACGCACAGTCGTACTTTAAAAGAAGGCAATAGGCAAACTGAATCTCTATTTATTTTGGGAAGTTACAAAGCGTTTACATAATACAGATACATAACTTTCAATCATCCATTTACATCTTCTATGCGTTCTGCAATATGAATAGTCTCCAAGTGTTCTGCCTACGCCATGCTTTCGCTCTACTGAAACTCTTCTCTCCGTCTGACGTCTGTTTAAATCTTGACCCCACGTTTCGCTACATACTGCATATTTGTGAGTAGCGTCTACCACAGTACCAACCTCAACATTGTTTATGTCTAACTCACTGAATGACGTTTTCGTTAATATTTGAATACTGATTGATTAGTGGAATGGTGTGATTGGACAGTATCAAATCACTCAGTTAACAGTTCAAACTGTTTTTTTACTTCAAACATAAAAATAAATAATACGAATATTTGCTGCTTGTGTGCCTCCACATATTGTTAAATTCGATCAATTCTATTAAATATAATTTTTGATGTTTTTTGACACTTAAAAGGCCATGTTGAATGGCTTTGACTTCCTGTCTAGGATTCAAAAAATACTTGTAACAAATGATTGGAGACAATGGCTAATAGCCCAAAATTCATCACAATGACACGGTTATATGTTGGGTGAAGGAAAGGAACTGAACTATGTATTTCAAAAAGTCATGAGGATTGAAGGTCAGGATTTACTGTTTGAACTACCGGTGATCCTCTCGGATCGGACTACGCAATAGACCGAAGTACACAAAATATTTCCAGTTATACAGTAAACATATACGAATATCCTTTGTAAAATATCATAACAGATGGAAATAGCATTACCGTTAATCACGTTGTTAATTTCATAAACTAAAGAGAGTAACCGGTTTTTAACAATTCAGCTCAATTTTTCTCTAATCAATATGAATAGATCGGAAGAAGTACTGTAAATTGTCGGAATAATTGTAGTTCGAAGTTCTTTCGTTTGTTTTTTTTAGTAATTTCTACTAGGTTGGTGATTCACTACTAGTAACTCAAAATATGATAACTGTTTCTGTTACTATATGTTTGTAGAACTTTTAACTCAAGATCAATTCAATCAGACTTGCAAAGATAATCAAAGTATCAAATATCCAACACAAGCTGCGAACTTATTGTCAGTACTTGATGATTTTGTAAATAAAAGTCACAGTGAAAATCTTAATGATTCACTTAATCTAAGTCAACGACTTTTATCTTATGCTATCAACTGGAATACAAGGACTAGAACATCAATGATAAGTCAGTTTGTATTGAATTGGATTCTAACCCGTTGGAAACCAGAAGAATTACTTGAATGGCCAAATTTTAGTCAAGCGATACAATATCTCCTTCCATATACAAGTAAGTTCTGTTTTATACCTATTGTAGATTGACTGTACATCATAAACGATGCTTCATTTATTGTTTGGTTGGACAACATATACAGATAAACAATAATTCCTGAGATATTGACAGTTATGTTATGTGATTGGTTGTAGTGTCTTTGATTGTAATACCAAGAGGAGAATAAACGTATTCCTGATGTTAATTATATATAGGCTCTTGAACAGTTCTTTGCAGAATAAATAATGATGATCTTATCATTTTCTACGCAGTTTTTACGGATTCATATTTTTATCAGTTTTCTCCTATGGAAAATATATCAGTCATAATACAAGTCCATAATTTTTTAATTACACCCACGGTTACACCTCTTTTGAGAAAACTGAAATTTTATTCTTAGTTGAGATCGTGAGTCAATTGAAGCTAGACCACCATGGGAAACCTGGAAGCACTGGGAGGTCGTTTCGTTATATTACGGGACTCCCCAGCAGTGCGCATTCACGACCCCGCCTCGTGGGGTTCGAATCCACGACCTATCCATTTCGCGCACGAGCGCTTAACCACTAGATCACTGAGCTTGGTCTATTGTGAGATAGTAACTCACTGATGACAATAGTGGATGTGTCGCTGAATTTTGTGGGTTAGTTGAAGTTAGACATTAACACTGTTGGATGCCGGCCGGCTCAGTGGTGTTGAGGTTAAGCGTTCGCGCATGAGACTGGTAGTTCCTGGGTTCGAGGCGTTGTCGTGGCTGCGCACTGCTGAGGAGTCACATACTAGGACGAAACGGTCGTCCAGTGGTCTTAGGTTTTCCATGGTGGCCTAGCTTCAATTGACTCACGATCTCAACTACTGAAATTACTACAATCTTCACAAAGCCCTTTCGGATTTATTCTTAATTAAACTAAAAGTAATTCAGCGAACAAAATTTTCTTTTCGACAAAATCATTTATTTAAGCTGTACATTCTTATTTATAGTTGTATGCCAAATATATATCCGTAGAGGGTTAGAGAAAATCTCATCATAAAGTGAAACCCACGAGCAAAAACGATACGTCCAACCTCTCATCCATCCTCGACCCTAATTCCATTTTTTGTAGTATGTTTTGGTCTTGTTTTTTTACAATTATTGTTTTGTAATTCGAAACTATAATCGGTTCTCATTATCATTTGAGAATTTTTCATGATTATTGTTCAGTATAGAGATTTTTTGAGATTGTAGTGATTTTAACAGTTGGATGCATGAGTTGATCTAAGGCAGACCATCTGAGAAAACCACCTGCTTCGGTCTGGGCACACGAACAGTATCACAGCCCACACATAAATCAAGTGGCTTGTGTGGCTCATATGTATTCGTTGCCCCTTTGTACCATTATTTATGTGTTCAAACAAATAACAATAAATGGGCATACATTTGGCATATAACTATAAATACAAATGTACAGCTTAAATAAATGATTTTGTCGAAAAGAAACTTTTCATTGCTGAATTCTCATTATTTCGATTTAATGACACAATGGGTTATTTTGATTGAACTAGCGACTTGAAAATAGAACTTAATATAACTGCAAATGAAACTATAATATGACTAAACTACAAATTGGCACCAGAACTGTGATTAAACTGGAATTGAAATTTTAATGGTGTTCGACGCTATGAAGAAGGTAAACACTGCATCAGGAACAAGAAAATATTTAGTCCATAGATACCCAAATACCAAAGAATAAACTTGCTTATATACAAAATTACATTCGTCATTAATGAATAACAGAAGTCACACTGTAAAAAGGTCACACTGAATTTTGTTAAATAATATGTTACGCAATACAATTTCATATCAAAGGTGTTTGGTATACTGACGATACAATGGATTATTACCATAATCCTATATTAACCCTTGCCTAATAATTTCCTGTCTTCCAGTGTGGATCACAATCTTTATTAAAGATATTTTGTAATGAGTGTATGTTTAGTTCAGGTACCTAAAGTCCATATTCTTTTTGCAATAACTATGTAGTACATCATTAAACAGATGATCTGTACACGATTTTCTCTCATGCTATCATATTGACAGTGTATAAATTGTAAGATAAGTTTTAATTTGGAAATATAGAGACTATATATATGTAAAAAGTATGGAGTTTTGTAAAGAATGCGATAGCCGTACACTATGATCCATATTCAGTCTTGTTATTAATACCATGTAACCCATATACTATTAAACTCTAGTTCTGTATATATGCCTATATACTACTTTATTGTTTTTCAGTAACGTAATAAATTTAATCAAATATTTAGAGCAGTAACTTTCTGTGTTTTTATTTCTTGAACCATAGCTCGTCATTATCAACGTATATGTAGATTGGAAGAACAACTGGCAATTTTAAACTATATTTCTGAGGTGACTGATGAACATTTAATTTCTACTAACACTTTTGATGAACCGATGGAATTAGACAATGATCAAAATAATATATCATTTAATTCAACTCAAAATGTCAATACTTCACTTTCTTAGATAAGGTGATTAAATTCTCTTCTTATTAATTATGTATACTATGATATTATACAACTTCACCTATTGACCTTTTTATACGGTTGTTTTCAGTTTACTAATAGTATCATGCCATAAATACAATGTGCATTTGTTTTGTATTTTTGAAGGATTTATTCGCAACTACCAGACCGGTTTTCTACGAGGTTGCAGATTTATTGACCACATCTCTATTCTCCATTGAATTTTAGAGTAAGGAAATCACTTATATTTTCCCAGAGAGATTGTGGATGTGCAGTGTTGAGAAGCTACACACTAATTCAAAACACCTGTCCAGTCCTTTCTGATTTTCAGCGGTTGTCTTATTAAGATCATTCGTTGACATGAATTATGAGATATGTTGTTCTAGTATAATCTTACTTTATAGATATATTGATTATTGAAATCCTACTACACTCAGTATAATTTAATGTCCGTGTTAGTGTCACTAGTTTGTAAACAAGTGATGTACCAACTAATAACTCTGTAAATTTTAAGGACTTTTATTTTATAAGTACAAGTATTCAGCAAATGAATCGTTCGAATATGTCTATTGTCATCTGTGCACAGCTGTGTTGGTCAACGATTAGGATCATAGATTAGTGATTCAGGTAGGTTGTATATCGTATAAAGTGACCAATTCGCGAGGCGTAACCATTTTTTAATCGGTGTGAGTATTCGAATTTCGAATTACAGTAACATTGTGTATAAGCTAATGATAATTGTACTCGTTTGGGTTGTGTTAATGAATATTTCTTTCTTTAGTAATTCGTTTAGTTCAAAAATTATTATTATCATTCATGAATTGATTACTGAGTGATAACTCCTAGTCATTTGTATGAATCTATCGGTCAAAGAGTGTATTGAGTGTATTTCATAGTTCACTGTTTTGGTTTGTGTTTTACACCTATTCTTTTAAAGGGGTATTAAGAAAAGTATAAGACAAGTGCTTAACTGTCAAAGGTATAATAGAAATATACTTATATACGTGACTTTTATCTATCCATCCGTTCGATATCTACTTTCTTACTTTGGATGACTAATATCTGATTGATCTTAATAAAATAGTCTACATGTACCAACTCAGCTCATTTAATAGAATCATAAGGTTCTTGGACTAAAGTTTTCTTGTTTGGTCATCCTTAACTTTTTCCAGCCCAATTCATAGTAAGCTATGTTTAGACAAGTAATATACCTCGGTCACTCACATGGTGAGACTATAATTTATGGATAACATTTAAGAGATGTTAAAGTGACCTTGAGGATGTCCATCTAAGTAGTAGGACCAAACGAAGGTTATAAACCATTGTGAGGAACTAGAATTAGGGTTTACTGTTGATAGTTAGGGTTAAGAATTAGATTTTGGCTTTTCATCATTAACTGTCATCAGCTATAAATGTCAAAATAATATTTTGTTGAAATTATGGATAAATTTCGTGCCAAAATCCAAGACTCGTTATCTTATATCTGATTGGTTTGTCAATCAATTATAGTGTTACCAAGGTATGATTAAATACTTAAAATTTACGTATATATATTTATATAACTCTATCTTCTGATATGTTACTCTTATTGATATTGGTTTTAAAATTTCTTCATTCAGATCAACGATAAATGATGTAAACGTTTAATGAACACAACACAAATCATTGTATATAAATAAAATCTTTATGAGAGTGTACAATCTCTTTCTCTTTTCTTCTGTCCTTGAAACTATTTCCAGATTGTGTATATGTGTATCCATTATTCAGTCATATGATAAATCTGTAATAAAATCCAATAGAAAAAAAGAAGTATATACATATTTTATGAAGTAAATGTTCATGTATCTTTGTTATTCTTTGGTTTTTCTTTTGTAATATGATAATCATGATGCTGATGATGATGACGATAGTCTTTATGCTCGTCGTTATACTCCATTTAAATTAACAAGTAAATATTAGAAGAAAAGAAAAATAAATTAGTTAATTATAAACAGTTGAGATCATGAGTCAATTGATGCTAGACCATCATGGAGAACCTGGAAGCACTGGACGGCCGTTTCGTCCTAGTATGGTACTCCTCAGCAGTACTCATCCACGACTCCACAACGGCCGTTCAGTGCTTCCAGGTTTTCCATGGTGGTCTAGCTTCAATTGACTCGTGATCTCAACTGTTTAAAATTACTACAATCTCCACAAAACCCCTTCTGATACTAAATGAATTATCCCTACAGCTTAAAATTTTAAATATGGTTAAATACTACTGTAGTGAACAAGAACACAAATGGGAACAATCGAATGTATTTGAGCACAAAATTACAGAACATCTCACTAAAATCTGGGAACCATATAATAAATAGTTAATTTGCAAAATATCAATTCATCGTCCTAAATTCGACTGTTCCTTTTGCAAATATCAGTCCCATGTGTCAGATTCATGCATATTCATACAAATTGCATTACGTTACCGTTCTTTCCTTATCGATTTTCTACTGAAATACATTCTATGCCTGACCACCGTGTTATATACTACTTATGTGAATATAAGTAACCCACACCACACTACTAGCAATATTCAAAAGAAGGAGTTTGTAATTTTGCTGGCTTGTAATGTGAACGCTTTAACTACTACATTCTGCAGCCTTCCAAACAGGTAGGAAATTTAAAAGATGCTATTTCTTGTTCAATGAATAAATTATGTTTACACAATGAAAGTATTTAGAAGATCATAGGCATTTTTAATTATTTTGAAATTTATGGAATTAAAATGAACCGATTTCGTCCCAGCAGACCCTCATCAGCTGTTCACAGTATATAACGTTTTAAAATCAAATTAAGAAATGGAAGTTCACTTACTTCAATTCATAGAAATTATGTTAGTCACTTATTATTGTAAACAAGTTATAACTTAAAGTGAAATGCTACATGTAAAATAACATGTTCTTTGAAGAAGTGATACTGTGAAATTATTTTCAGTAATTTCCTTAAATATATAAATCATTCCAAAACCTCTTGACTAAATGAATTTCATCACTATTAGCCTGTAAATAGTGTCACCATTAAAATTATCCGTATATTTGTTATATCTAAGATATATCAATGTACATCACTTTGTAAGTTCGCTTATCTGATTCCTGTTCATAATATAATTTCGCCCCGCATATCCTGTTTAGTATCGTTTTTGAACCTTGACCAATGATACGATCTGACCAAAATCTCGAGTTAACGCAAACTTCACTCTTATTGATCTTAAAACTCTCACGCTTTTCTCTGTCCCCAGATTTGACCTTAAATACTGCAACTAAGTTTCTATTATTATTTATTTAAAGCAAAAATAGGTTGACATGTAGACATACCGAATCACATCATACCAGAAAATAGAATATTATAATTTCAACAGTTGAGATCATGAGTCAATTGAATCTAGACCACCATTGAAAACCTGGAAGCACTTGACAGCCGTTTCGTCCTATTGTGGGACCCCTCAGCAGTGAGCATCCATGACCCCGCCTCGCGGGATTCGAACCCAGACCTATCACTCTCGCGCCAGGCGCTTAACCAACTAGACCACTGAGCCGGCATACAGATGGTGTTAATGTCTAACTTCAACTAATCCACGAAATTGAGCGACGCATCCACCATCTCAAATGTGGCAATGAAACTGGACAAGTTTGATGTGATTAGCAACAAATTAAGAATAGTAATAGCTAAATGGGTTAGAAAGTTTACAACAAGCGCAACGGTAGTCCAGTTATTTCGTAATTATACAATATATATATATATATATATATATATATATATATATATATATATATATATAATAGTTTGTAAATTAGTTTCCTTGGTTACAATCTTTATCATTCACCCCAGAGCAACCATTTCACATTAATTTTAATCTATAAAATCTGAAGATTTGAGCTACAAGACGTGTTTTTTTAGTTATATGTAATTATGAAGAGCTTAGGGTAATGTGAGAAAGTATATAAATAAATAAATAAATATCATACGACACGTTTGACACGTACGAAAAAAAGTAAATTTGTACCTATTAATAGTAGTTTTTATGTGTAATTAGAAATGACTTGGAAATTACACTGAGTTTCGTATTTGTAGTTTGATTAAATTCAATTGTATTACAAAATGTGAAATGTAACAATTAGGAATATGTATTTGTTTAATCGACACTGTCATTCTGAGCTTTGCAAGTTATCATTCCAAACTACATATTAGCGCCCTCAATGCTCAAACCCTATGTAAAAATCGGCCAACATAGATTTAAGCTAAGGCTATGGATTGTTGTGATATCAACGTATCCTTTCTCTGCAATTCATACAGGACTCATATTTGGTTATTCATTTAACTTCACCTAGTTAGGTTGAAAGATTAGAATATCTCTTCGTGTATTTGATGTTTTGACAGCTTAATCTTTTGTCATCACATCGTTTTCTCTACTTATTGTTTTACCGACTGGAACACAGAAGAAGTAGGAAATAGGTTTTACGAGTATCTCTCTGACCTAAACCTTATATTCCTGTTAGGGATGCAGAGGAATATAGCAATAATTATCGTGTTAAGTCTAATGGTGTCTATGGACGTTGAATGGACATTTCGATTGGTCGATATTCATTTCACCTGTCAAATATTGCACAAATGTTGTTTTCTATTTTATGGTACGTTGTGGTCTCTTTGGTTGGTATATAAATAGAGTATGTCTGAAATATAATGATTCATATCTCAGAGGCTGTGACTGGCGTTCTGGACTCAACTGGCTGGGATAAACAGCGGAGCAGGACCAATCGGGTCTCTAGGTCGTCTTTACGTGTCACAGATTCGATCGATAAATACGCTGCGCATCTAAACTGCAGTCCACCCGTTGCAACAATTCCCAAACGTCATTGTATCATATGATTGTAGCCCCCAAATAAGTTGGCTAAATCAAAGTAAAGACATGTTTTGTTCTCAGCTCAACGAATAGATGATGATGACCCTCCGTTAAAACATCTGTATATTCCTATCAACCACGGACTCAAAATAATAATGAACAAATCTGGATGATCACATTAATTTAATTAGAAACTCAAATATTGAATGTTTATAAATCACTTGATTCCTTAAGCGAGAAAGCACATGGTTTTTCTTACACCGATCGATACGGTATAAACGTGATTTTTTTTGTTATTCTGATTTCTGTAGTATGTATGCATATTTAAGTGTTTACGACATTTCATTGATCTACTAAACTAGACAGTTATTAATAGATATCATTCAGCATGGTTGTGCGTCATGTATCTGGATACATCGGTGGTTTGTCTAGTTTTGAGTGTTAATCAAATTCTATCGACCGAGTTGTAATGAGTAGTCTGAATTACTTAATTTAATGATAGGCGTTGTTTTGGAGGTCACCACTATAATAAAACTGCTAAACTAGGTTCGTAAAATTTGTCTACTATCCGTATGGTGTGTCTGAAATTTCGAGAGAACTAGTGCTTCGTATGTAGCGTAAACGTGCATCACGGGCTTTTGAGAAAAGACTTTGCTGTATTGCGAAGAGTGCTAAAGGCAGTTAGTAAGACGTGTGGTGAATCTTTCGAGGTCATAATTAATATGGTTGTGGACAGACATTTAAAATCATGCAAACTCCTGGCAGGTGTTATTTTATCAGATACTAGCCATCCCCTTCACTCTTATCTTTCTCCTTGTATATCTTCTGGTAGAACGAGACGTAATTACATTAAAATCCTTGCACGCAAGGAAAAGTATAAAAGTTCTATAATACCTTACCTATCAAATATACTCTGTGACGAACAGGTTGTTAGAATTAACTTAGTCAATAACTTACATTCTTAACATGTCTTTAATTTTAAAAGTTTGTAGTTTCTTTTGGTTTTTTTTTTTTAAATTTTTATTTTATATATTTCTTTATGTATTCGCTACTGCCTTTTTTGTTCGTTGTTCAGTAAGTAACTTGTTGAAATACCCCGTGCTGAGAATTCTATATTGTACCAAAATATAATATTGAATAAAGCCATTAATAATAATAATAATAATAATAATAATAATAATAATAATAATAATAATCTGCCTGCAAGTGACTAGCTTTGCGGAGTTATTCTCAGAGTTCTAGTGAAAGGTCAATGACCAGTGGAGTTCAACCGCGTCGGAAGTGGGGCAATTATTCACCGCGGACAATGGGAGATGAACACACGATATCATAGATTGGCTGAAGTTAGACATTAACACGGTTGTATGTCGGCTCAGTGGTCTAGAGATTACGTGTTTGCGCACGATGCCTAAGGTGCTACATTCCAGCGCAATGTGCGGGATCGTGGTTGCGCACTGCGGTGGAGTCTCATGTTGGGGCGACGCAGCTGTTCAGTGTTTTCAGGTTTACCATGGTGGTATGACATTCTGTCTGTGATCTCAATAAAAAAATAGATAACTATGTTCCAATTAGGACGGAAATACATTTAAACCCTATAGAGAGTGTTAGCTTTCTAAGAACTGCACATGCGCTTTTTTAATATTAACCAACTGATTAATACTTGAATCCAGGAATAATGATCTGTTGTCCTCAAACACGTCACACAAAAGGTCTGTCTACACTGACCGTATTCTATAAGCTTGCGTTAAATCATTTAACCTTATTGCTACATAAATTACCAAACCTGTAACCAAATATCTGTATGGATCATTTAATTGATTTAATAATATCTTATATCTCTTTAAATTTCTTTTCACTCCCAATATAATTAGTTCACAGTAAGTAGACCTGCTTAAATTGGCCTAAATATGTTAGAAAAATTGATTAATCTGTCATCCACAATTATTATTATTGACAGAGTA